TGCACACACATCCAAAAACACACACACACACACGCACCTCACAATATCAATGAGCTCATGGTGTGTTTACTCCCAAATACAAACTTTTTACACATTCTCATGACATTCAGGGAGCCACAAGCCAGTAGTTGCTGTGATGGGTACAGTATGGACTTTTTCTGGATGGAGGCAACAGACATAGCGGTCTTTGATCAAAATTCAACTTATTACAATAAGACATAGAAGCCATATCTTAGTCCAAAGTACGCTTATTTAAAAGATCAATAATACTGTGTGTTTCACAACCGGATTTGCAGTGGATTTGCCATATTTCAATATCTCATTCTTCATATTGTTTGTTTTAAATACTAGCCATATCGTATGAAGCTATGAGCTAATTGCATACACTGTTCACTCTAGAGCTTGACTTGTGTAAGATCATTCTGAGACTTCAGTGTGATGCATTATTCTCTTAAACCAAAGAATGGAAGAATGTTTACATTAGAATAATAAGTTCCATCAGGGGAATTATCTCCTTGCTCAATTTGTAGCCACAAGAACACAGGAAACCAGTAAGGTGTCCACTGTGGGAACTTCATTTGCTCAGTCAGATACAGCTGCGACCTACTGTGATAGCACTGTGTGGGTTAAAACACTTTGCACTGTGGTAGTGTTCTACTGCAGAAACAGTGGTGGCAGTACTAGATGGAAAATGGTTCTGCTTTTCTAATCACAGGAATGGGATTCAAAGATATGATGGAAGGGCAAATGTTTCTGTTTACAAAGCCAGTAGGACAGGACATCTGAAAATGCTCCATAAATGCAACGTTTTGGCACACGGTCCTGTTACATGACTGCATACTTTCTTCTACAGAAGAGGATTAGGGCCACTGTACAAAATGTATTTGAGTTCTGACTTTAATCTCAAAATTCTGACTTTCATAAAAGTGAGATTTAAAGTAAGAATTCTGAGGAAAAAAAGTGGTCTTCATCCTCTTCAGTATTCTTATAAAGTAGGGCGTTTTCACTTCTCTGTTCTACTGGAGGTGAAGCGATGCTTGTTTTGGTACAACTCCACTTCCTTATGTAGTCAGTATAATATCACATTTGCATCCTTTCGCTTTAATGCTTTTAGAGCATCAACTACACATTTTGTAACCATTTAAAATATCAATAAGCTCTTATATTGTAAATAGATTGGAAAAATTGAAAATGTATTTAAGAATCAATGTATATCATGTACATATAATAAAAATAGGAATCATAAATGTTACAGCAAAATGATCTAGGTGAGTAAAGGGAGGAGGTATGATGAACACAGCTGATAGATTCAAATAATGTAGTAATGATAAAAGCTGTGTGTGTAGACAAGAGGGGAAAGGCATAGATAGTTTTGACCAATTTTATAAACTGGAAGCATTGGATAGTTATTAAAGAAAAAATAAAAAAGCATATTAATTTCCAAATCTATTTGTGTAAATGATGTCAAAATTTCTATGCCATTAAATGTTGTTTGTTTGTGAATACTTCCCGTTGATTTGTTTTGTGTATTTACAATGATACAATGATGATGAGTGAATAAAAGAATGTATTTTGTATCACTGATTTCATAGGACCTCTTACTGCTCCGTGTTGCTTCTTATGTTAAGGTTTTATAATGTAAGGCAGGAGATAAAACTAAGATGAAAATGAATACATTACATTTTGGATTATGTTAATAAAATTAAGTTTTAAAAAAGTTCACTGATTCAATAAAGATAGATCTATTGGAAGAGAGTCATCAGGTTGGTGGAGGTTCGACAGTGTCCCTGGACGTTATGGAGATATGGTGGTGAAGGGGAGCAGGTGGGCTCCACAACTGTGGTTCTGAAAGAAAAGTGAGCAGAACTGTGATGATATCTAAAGAACTACAGCCAGTGGTTGATTAGCTTGAGGAACACAGGTAGAAAAATCCTTCATGAGGCACATCAACCCACTGATGAGCAAGCAGAATGTGGAGGAAGAGATCTTCCTTAGTGAGCTTTCACCTGAGCTTCATTTGAAAAATTAGCTTTTTGAACAGTTTCTAAGCTGCATTGTTTAAATCCATTTTTACAGTTTTCTTCTTCACTGTGTTTTGTTGGTGCATTGCAAACCATTTCTTTGTGTGTTTTTGCCACATGGAATAATGTGACACCACTGACAGAAAACACTTGGTGAGTGCAAACCTCCACCAAGGCAGATCAGTTTCCCAAAATGCCATTACAGATCAGTTTCCCAAAATGCCATTACACCTAACCTGGCAGAGATCCATCCATCTATTATCTATACTGCTTGTCCTGAAGAGGGTCACGGGGGGCTGGAGCCAAACCCAGCAGACACTGGGTGAGATCGCCAGTCTATCACAGGGCTGACACTTAAAGATAGACAACCACACACACCAGGCAATTTAGAGTCACCAGTTAACCTAAACTGCATGTCTTTGAACTGTGAGAGGAAGCCGGAGTAGCTGGAGAGAACCCATGTACGGAGAGAACAAGCAAACAACACACAGAAAGGCACCTGATCACCCAGGTATCGAACCTGGAACCTTCTTGCTTTGCAGCAGCGCTAACAACTGTGTCTCCGTGCTGCCCACCTGTTATTGATGTCCATCCTAATATGATTTCTTGATCACGAAAACACTGGAATCACACTGACGTCATTATTACTTTGAAAGTTATATAAGAAAAATTATATTTCAGGAATGGTTGTTTTCTTCAGGATCTAGCTCAGTAACTTTTGAGAAAATGTCAAATTTGTTGACACCTTATGAATGAGGTCTGTAGCATTATTTGTAGTCTCACAGGTTAGCCTGAACATTCTGGATCAGACTTTAGTGTCTGGTAGATCTTATGCGGATGTTATCTTGCAATTTTTGTTCAAGCATTGTAGACTTTGTGTATAGAGTTACATGCAAAAATACTGAAATTGGCCCTGTCTCACAATGTTGAAGAATCCTTTAAAAAATTCCTGGATTCAGATGATGATAAGATCACCACCAAAATCTAATGGATTATTTTGTGGGCCATACTCTCCTCTCCAGAAAACCATTCATTACTTTTTGAATTATACTGCAAACAAACCAACAAACCAAAAAAAACAGTCACACAAACAAACAAACAAAAAGGGTAACATCATAACCTCCTTGGCACTGTGTGGGTGGGGTCTAATGGTATTTGATTGACAGTGGCTAACAACTTAAGCAAACAACCCCCAAAAATTTGATTCACTATTGATAAATTAATTTTTGCTACATCTATCACTATGGCCTTCTTCTTCTGTTTGTCCACCATTACTATGTCCGGTTGGTTGGCCATTACCAGTTTGTCAGTTTGTATCTGGAAGTCCCACAGGATCTTAGCTTGGTCATTCTCAACCACCTTTGGAGGTGTATCCCATTTTGATTTTGGGACTTCCAGCCTGTACTCGCCACAGATGTTTTTGTACACTATGCCAGCCACTTGGTTATGGTGTTCCATGTATGCCCTGCCTGGTAGCATCTTGCACCCCGCTGTTATGTGTTGGATTGTCTTGGATTGTCTTTGCACAACCTGCACCTGGGGTCCTCTCTGGTATGGTAGACCCCTGCCTCTATTGAACTTGTACTTAGAGCCTGTTCCTGTGCTGCCAGGATTAGTGCCTCTGTGCTGTCTTTCAGTCCAGCTTTGTCCAGCCACTGGTAGGGTTTTTCGATATCAGCCACATCTTCTATTTGACGGTGGTACATACCATGCAGGGGTTTGTTCTTCCATGAGGGTTCCTGCTCTTCCTTCTCTCTGGTTCCTCTGGTTTCTGCTACCTGAGGTGTTCACTAAGCATGTCATCACTTGGGGCCACCTTCCTGATGTATTCATGGATCTTTGTGGTTTCATCCTGGATAGTGTCTCTGACACTCATTAATCCTCAGCCTCCTTCCTTCTGCTTAGTGTACAGTCTCAGGATGCAGGACTTGGGGTGAAACCCACCGTGCATTGTAAGGAGCTTCCTTGTCTTCCCTCTCCTTGTTAGCATTCAACCACACTTATCCAGTCCGAATGACATTACGACGTCCTGGCTGTAGATCCTAGTGTTGTGGATCAGTGATTCGATGTCTCGTTCACTCCTAGCATACAGCTTGATGTCATCCATGTAGAGGAGGTGTCTGATGGTTGCTCCATTCCGTAGTCAGTATCCATAACCTCTCTTGGTGATGATCTGGCTGAGGGGGTTCAGCCCTATGCAGAACAGCAGCGGGGACAGAGCATCTCCTTGGTAGATACCGCACTTGATGTTGACTTGTGCAATTGGCTTGAAGTTGGCCTCTAGGGTTGTTTTCCACATTCCCATTGAGTTCTTGATGAAGGCTCTTAGAGTCCTGTTGATGTTGTACAGTTCCAAGCATTCCAGGATCCATGTGTGAGGCATTGAGTCATAGGCTTTCTTGTAGTCAATCCAGGCAGTGCACAGGTTGGTGTGCCTGGTCTTGCAGTCTCGAGTGACTACTTTATCAACCAGTAGCTGGTGCTTTGCTCCTTTGATGTTGCTATCAATTCCTTTCTGGGTGCTGCTCATGTATTGAGCCATGTGCCTGCCCATCTTAGCTGCCATGATGCCTGACAGGAGCTTCCATGTTGTGCAGAGGCAGGTTATTGGGGGTAGTTGGATGGTACTGCTCCCTTCTGAGGGTCTTTTAGGATCAGGACTGTCCAGCCTTCAGTTAACCACTCAGGGTGGGTTCCATCCATTAGTAGCTGGTTCATTTGTCCCAATGGGTGCTCATGGAGTGAAGTTAGCTTCTTTAACCAGTAGGTGTGGATCATGTCAGGGCCTGGTGCTGTCCAGCTCTTCATACTTGAGACCCTTTCTTGGATGTCTGCCATTGTGATGATTACTGGGTCTTCAGGGAGTGTGCTGTGGTCTGCTGTCAGGTCCACCAGCCATTGGTCATTGTTGTTATGTGATGCTTC